GCCAGGTCTCCCTTGAAAAAGAGGTTTTTAATCTCAATGGGATCTTCCTGGTTAAATAAAGGTTAATAAATAAATAAATAAAATGCTCAGAGAACCTTTAGTATTATTCATCGATTGATTAATGACTTAAAGATTAAAATCCAAACACCAACACAGTTCGTCATTGTGTGTGAATGTGTTAAACATTTAAGGTTTTTGCACAACTGTTTGTTTAATGTCAAAGTTAGAATTATTAAGTTAAGTTTAAACAACCTCAGCTCACCGAAGTTCTGCACAAGCCTACTAATATATATTATTCATCCATTTTCTTCTTCTTATCCTTTTCAGCCGCTCAGGGGCACTGGAGCCTATCCTAGCATAATTAAAACTGTTGGATGTTCAGACCAAAAAAGGACAAAAGAATGATAACAGGATGAGCCCTGACATCATTTTACTTACTGTTGGTCAAAGGTGTTTTTCCAGACACTTGAGGAGTGATTAGTTTTGATTTATTGGGCAATCCTGTGAAAATAAGAAATTGTTATGCTGATTATTGAATCATAGATGTTGTATATTCTGTGTATTTCATCTTTGTCAGAAGAGTTTCTCATCTTACCTGCAGCTTTAACAGCATCAATGATTGGAGTCTTCGTCTCCTTTTTGGGGGGGGGTTGTTGATCTTCTGATAAATCCTGTTCTGTGTCCTCAAAAGCTTCATAGCTGACATGCTCTCCATTGTTGTCCTTTGTAATTTCCCCCAAATGTGTTAACAGCTCTGGAAGTTCAACGTTGCTCCTCTTCAAGTATCTGCATTTACATTTTTTTATCATTTCATTTAATGCTGGACTTTTCATGAAGTCTTCAACAGAACCTGAGCTCTCCTCTCTGGGTGCTGAGGTCAGTATCAGTGAATGATCAAATGATTGATCACTGTAACCTTGAAGGACTCTGCAGAGTCTCCGTTTGTGTTCTTCTGTAAATTTTTCAGGCTGTACAAGCAGCAGGAACACATGAGGTCCAGGAGAAGAGTGTTTTGCACAGTCTTTTATAAACTCTGTCAGATCATGGCGGGAGGTTTTGAGAGGAGGCAGGTAGGGGGTGTTGATGACAGCAATTTTTTTGCCCTCTACTGTACCACTAAATCTCACACACGCTTTAGTTTTACTGGTGAACACAGTCTCTCCCAGTAAGAGATTTCCCACTTTATTTTTCTCAGTCCGGCTGCTCCCCAGCAGAACAACCCTCAGCTCAGACACTGCGGGAAACACAAATGCAGAAAAGGTAGCTAAACACAGACATGCAGCATACTGAAGAGTGATTCCCTTTGTTTCAGTGAGGTTTAAATCCAGAGGTTTTAGTTCTAAATTCAGATATATTTTAACTTCTCACTAACACAGTTCAGTGTAACTCACTCTTTTTTGGCAGTACTTCAAGGCTGCTTCCTGTCTGGGGAGGCTGATGTTCTGTGATGTAAAGAGAAAGAAAGATAGATAGAAGGGAAAAGACAATGGATGGACTGAAATCTCCAGAAGTTGATTCTGTTCATCTGGACGTAGCGTTTTGTGGGAGAAACATTTCATCATCATCCAGGTGA